GGAGGACGAACGATCATCCGACCGGCTTCCTACTCGAAAGGGACAGAAGAAGCCCTCGCGTTCATCGGATTTGGATTGGGGAGAAGATGGCAGTTTGATCACCATGATTACAAAATTGACCTTGAGACAAGAAGATCAATTGAATCAGCTCCATCTCGACAAGACCTTCATCTTCTTCGTCCAGGCCGGAAAAGGCAACATCCTGCCCCAGATATTGAAATTCTCGAGGGATTGGCATGCCCAACGAAAGGCTGGACAGGTCACGAAGACCCTTTGTCAGCACATGTTCCAGTCAGTCTTCGAGGAATTGGCCTCCAGGACATCGAAATTGCCCCTTGGAACAAACGACAATGCCTTGATTCAAGCCCTTCAGAACAAACAGGTATTAACCTCCACCAACAGTTGGAATTACTTGCATTGGGATCCCAACGAGAAGACCTTCAAGGCCTTGAAGAAGGATCCGCTTTCCTCAGAGGAAGCCTCAGTTTTGATTCAGAAGATTCATGGTCTGGCAATCCAGTCCGAATTGATCCATCGATTCGCAGCTTTGAAACCCATGCCTCAGGACTCTACGGTCAAGGATTCGGTTGTTATATCTTGGCGCCTTGACATTTCTCTCCAGGGACTAGTTGCACAGGAGATGTATGATTTATTGATGAAATTGACAGGCAACGGACTGACGTAAGTGATCTTCGTTCGAATCCGGCCCTCGACGCTGCAGAGGTCCCCCCTGGCCCAAGCCATAGCTGCTCGATTGAAGAAATGAGAACGGTCATCCTGGCCTTGAATTTCGGGACTGACAACAACGCCTGTTACATGAACTCTGCATTGCTTGCAGAGCTATGGGCATGTTATATGGATGATTCATTTGTGTGGGCTGACACCGGCATGTGGCGGACCTCACTACTCCGCTTGTTTGGACAGACAGCCGATCACCAATTTTTGATTGACATGGATTGTCTTGGCCCTCTTTTATAATCGTGGTTTCCCTTTCATGCTGCTGGAAGGCAGCAGGACGCAGCCGAATTCGTAGGTTGGCTTCGACAGGCCTTGCATAGGGGTTTAAGGGACCGTAGAAAGCATGTTCCTGCATGGGAAGCAAATTCCTGCATGGGAAGCAAGATTTGAAGCCACAACGGAAGATTCAAGCCTGCTGTATGCACCAATGCTCTTGCAGCAGACGAAACCAGGAAATTGCATCGTTCAGGATCTTGTAAATCTTTGGCATGACCAGAATCCATTTCATTGTGAATTCATGGATTCTACCACGATTGTATGTCTTCAAGTGAACCGGTTCCCCTCCTTAGGAGTTCGATCGCAACAACCTTTTCGTTGGAATCGAGTGACAGTCGAATTACCATGTTTCATTCATGCCCACAGCTGGATCGTTCGATGGAAAAATTATGAAATTGTTTCTGTATGAAATTGTTTCTGTCGTGGTACAGAACCGCAAAATAGATATTACCAAACCTGCCTCAGGACCGGAGGAAATCGATTTTTAACCGATGACTAGACTCAAGCTATTCCCTATACGCACAGCCTTAACCTCGAATAAGATCTATACCTAATTTGATAAAAAGCTTCCACCTCCCCAGTGTCTAGAGAAGCAAAATTAACAAAAGCAATCCATTCGTGCCAATTTTAATTAATTAAAAGCTTTAAGCCTTTTGCAATTCTTCGCTAACAATGCCGCCCGGAGCACTAAATACACGAAATGCAATCGATCAATAAAAAATCTTTGCCGAAAATATATAATAATAATAATCTAATTTAATTAAGAATATTTAATATATAAATAATATTCATTATTATATATATATATATATTTATTTAATTATTTATTTATAATAAATAAAATTCATTATTTATAATCAATTATATTATTAAAAAAAGAATAAAAATAATTCTATTCTACAAATTAAGATAATATATCTGTTTTTCATAAATCTCAAAAATAATCGATAATTAAAAAATCAATAAAAAATCATTAATAAATTTATAAAAACCTCGATTTACAATAATATTCAATATTATATTTTAAAATTATTAGTAAAAAAAGTAATCAGGTTCGTTTTGCTTTTATTATTTTTATATATGTAAAGTATGTATTTAATTTGTATATATCCTTTAAAAAAATATTCCCGGTAGCGAGCGAAAGATCTAGGGAGCGTCGTAAAGCGATCAAGAGAAAAGAAAAGGAAGAAAAAAAAAGAAAAGAAGAAGAAGAGGCTTGAGAAATTATAGAAGTAAACGGGTGGTCAGCTAGCGAGGCCCTCGGGCCTGGGAAGGTCCCGGGGGGTTCGAAATTGAGCCTCGGATCCCTCCCTTATTGCTGCTGGGTCCCGCTCCTGCCTGGGTTGCGGGTAGCCGTGGCCGTGTCTCGCTTGGGCACTATATCTTCCCCTGCAAAGGAACCAGCCGAGCCCTAGCCCGAAGCAGGTGCCCACCAAGAGACAACCGCAAATAACAACAAATAGGTGCTGCCTCTGGTCCGCGCGTTTGGCCCTGGGAAGCTGCTGCCAAGGGCTGCAGGTCGAGGTGTGCGATGGCGTGGTTGGTACCCCGACTCGCGTCATCATTGCTGCACAGGAGATCACAAGAGCCTGTCTTGCTTCTTGGTCTGCCTCCTCTAGGCCGAATCCGGGGCCCTGCGGATGGGCTTCAACTTTCCATCGTCAGTCAGCATAACTCTCTTGAAGTCTTGGATCTTCAGCGGCTTCTTCAGGGGTGTCGAAAAAGCTGGCAGCCAGGCTCTCTCCTTCCGGGCTTCTGGCCCCGGCCCCCCACCCTCATCCTTCCGCTGGGCACGGGCTCGGAGACCCCTCGATTTCGGCCGTCAGTCGCTCCTAACACAGCGTCTTTGCCGCTCGAAGGGCGGACAGAATTCGCTCGCTCGAGCTCCCTCATATAGTCACCCTGCTGATCGAGGAGGGCCAAATAAGCACCGTCTTCTTCCTCAGCCTTGCGGATGCGGGCGACTTCCTCGTCGAGTGCCTTTCGGATGCCGAGCATGGCTTCACGCCTCTGTGAAGCCAGGCGCTCCAAATGTGTGACAAGTTCTGCTTTTCCTCTCCCAATACCCCGGGCTTTGTTTACCGCCTCCTGGAAGCCGAGCCAATTCGACTCATCGGCCCTGGCAATTTCTTGCAACAACCGAGTTTTCCTGGGCCGAATAGGACACCTCGAGCCGGTCGCAACGGCTTTTCCTTGGGGCGAGCGTTTCTCAGCCCCCCTCTGCACCCGTTGTATTTTCTTCTGCCTCGGGCAGGATCGGCGGGGCTCCGGTGAAGGATGGGGCTGGCCCTCCCTCTTCCTCGGCGGGTCTCTTGTGATATGAGGCCTCTTTCCTGGTAGAGTTCCTGGCCCTACGGTTTCCAAGAGCCTTCGTCGACCTCCATCGGCTCCTCCTGGTCAGGCGTTTTCTCCGCGGTTGACTTGTCCAAGGCGCGTTCGCTGACCGGAGGGTCGCCCGAAGTCATCGGAGTCGACTTCATCTCCTCTGTCTCTTCCATCCGACGGACTCGAAACGAGCCTCGTCAGCCTTACAGACTGCAGAGCCTCCACAATGTCCGGGTCTGGAGGGGGTGATGATAGAAGACTCCAGCGTTTCGGAGTCTACCTTCACCATCGTCCTCGTTGACCGTGGCTTGTTCAGGCAAGGCTGCAGGTAGACTTCTTGATTTGTGCACCCTGAAATCAAACGTCGGTTGGAGGTGGTGCCATAACCGCAGAATTAAAGAAGGACAATCTACCGCAACCGATTCATTCCATTCTATGACGGCCAGCAATTGTTATGTGGGATTCCTGTTATGACTGCCCAACTGTATCGTCCCTCGATACACTAATGTCTCAGAGAGGAGAAGCTCTTACCTCGTTGAAGCTCAGCAGGCTACGCCCAATCTAGAGCTGCCCAGGAAAAATCGAGCTTGACGGACGAAAGAGCGCCAGACAAACGATGGCCCGAAGAATGCCAGACTATGCGTCGATTCCGGCGGCGCGGCGCAATGAAGCTTGACGACCCGTCAAGCACAGTCTTGAATCTTCTGGTAGGAACAAAACCAAGGGAGAACCTTTGTCAATCCATTCCCCTCAGCAAAACCAGCAAACGCTGGTTCTGAGTAAAGCGCTGCTCCACTTTCAGAATGTCAGGCAACAAAGAGCTCTTCATGTTGAATCCTGGATAGGCCACAATGCCTTCCGAGAAACTCATTGCACGACTGCGTGCTTGAGGTTGGCAGTTCACCAAAACTTTTCTCAGCGCCATGGGAGTGAACGCCTTGGGACGAAGAATCAACTTGGCAAGGTCCTTCTTCAAAACCCCAACATCAGTTCCTCCTCCAGCCGATGAGGAAGCAGCTGCTTCCTTGGCGGCAGCCGCATCCTTGGCTGCAGCCGTCATGATTCTGAAATGAGGGCCTGTGTTAGTTCGGCACTCCTCCCACTGACCAATCTCCTGAAGTGCTCTCCACAACCTCCTCGAACCTTCAATATCTTCACAGGAATCTCCAATCTGGATGAGGTTCGAGAAGAGGGGTAAGAGGTCAAGATCGTCTTTAAAAAGCATCCTGGAAACACGCCCCAGGCACCGATTTTGCGAGCCAACGCCACACAAGTTCAAGGCGCGGGCAAGGGAAGAGACAAGAGAGAAAAGGGACCTGGGTACAAAAAGGTCCGCTGAAGCTTAGGTGAGATCGAGTGAAATGGCTGTGGATCAAAATCGGGACACCCTGGTTGACCATAAAAAAATGAACAGAATAGACTACATGGGAGGTCAACCTACGCTGGTTTTGGGGGCCATGACTCACAGTAGTACATGCGGACTTTTCTGACGCCTTTCAAGGGCCTAATCCGGACATGTGCACTTCTCAAACTGGTGCGTGTCATCCGAATTGCTTTAAGCACCATAATTCATCTTAGATCTTAGAAAAAGATCAAATTTCTTGAAAATACTCTAACATATGTTTATTATAGTATGATATTCAATGCATTTGTTTTAGAGACTGCTTTTTCATGTCACACTTTTTCACGTCACACATTCTTTTCACTATCAAACTGGAGGGCACTCGCCATGTTTGGTTTGCCCCACCGCACCATCGGGTCCCATGCAGCCTCGAAGGGCGCAGTAGGCCATGACGCAAAGAGCCCCCTGGTCGTCCCCAAGACGACACTGGACAGCCGCCTCGTAATGAAACATATCGACAAAGGACTGGTTTAAATGCACCACCGGCTTGTCGCTAGTGAGAATTTCTATGAGAGCATCCGAAAGAGGGTACGGATCCCAAAGCAAAGTGTTGATGGAAAGACCAAAATAGTTCCACACTTTGCTTTGCACACTCAGACATCTCTCTTCAGAGACTTGCTCGAGATACTCGAAATCGTCGAGAGCTGCCGAGCGCGAGACATTAAAGAGACCATTCAGTGCGCAGAATAAATCATGGTAGTCCCTCACGTTGGTCAAAGACTTATAGGACGTGCCTTCTGGCAGCAAAACCTTTTTGGGCTCTTTGCCAGTCTGCAAATACTTATACTCTGTCGTTGTAGTTATCTTTGCCTGATGTTCAGCGTATGGCCTCATAGCCTTCTCTTCGCGGCCAATTGCACAAGTGCTGCACCAATCAGCGGCGGCTCCAAAAATGCACCAACCGTCACGTCCAGGGTACTTGTCCAACACAGCAGAAATGGGTTTGTCGAAGTCCTCGCTGAACATGGCTGCAACACGGCGAAAGAAAAGAGAGTCAAGTCCCGGTAGATGACTCACCGCGCGGACGGCCTTGCGACCGGGTCCACGGCCTTGCTTTTGGGGGGTTGGGATCGGACGGCCTTGGACATAGGGTGGGGAAAAGGTGAAAAACATGCCATGTGCTTGTATTGTATTATTTGAGTATATATATATATATATGTGTGTGTGTGTGTTTCATTTGTTTTACATTATGGTTTATCTTTGTTAATGCTCTTTGTTCTGAATCTTAACCAATGTGGCTTCAATATTGGCAGTTGATGATGAGCATTGCTGTGTTGATGTCTTTGTAAGTCAAGACAATAGTACAATGCCTACACCATCTTAAGTCTTACTTATAAATCTGACAAACGTCATATCTTGATTTACCAACATGAATGTGTCCTCATGGTTCAGGTGGCTTGTGTCGCGCTCTGGCGGTTTGTTGTCGTTGCCTAATGTTCAACGAGCCAAGAGCAGTAAACTCACAAACAACAAACACAAACATGTAAGATGTGCTGTCAATGATAATGTAAAACTAGCTATATACTAATGTTATACCGGTCCGGAATTGTTGATCAATTCTTTGTCTGGTATCACGGGATTGTGTCTTCATGTATGACATGCATAAATGACATGAACAATAGGATTTAGGATCCAAGCATGCGCCGTCCGGCTTGCTCCTTAGCGCTTGTCTTGACAAAGCCCTTGAAGATGTGCCAAGAAACATGACAAGTCAGTCTCATGCCAACTTGTTACTTGCTCTTTTTCATGCTTTTCATACAGTTTCCAAATTATGAGTGCGGCGTTTATTGTCTTGTTATTTCAGTTTGCTGGCGCTTTGTTTCTTGGAGGTCTCCGATTTGGGCATGCGTTCTTTCCCAGTTCTGCCACTCAGTGTCCTCCAAATGAACTGAAAAACGGGATGTAATTTGTCATTCTCACTTTGTTTGTGAGTTGTTTCCTTCATCAATGCATGTGGCTCCTCTTATATAACCCTACCACCGGTTGCACTTGTTGCTCAGACCAATGGCGTGGAGGATGAATCATGATCGTGAAGAGGATTGAGACAGGCGCCGCTTGCTCGATGAGTTTGTGGAATGCTAGCTGCCAGTCTCATGGAATGGCTGCCAGTCTCATGTTATCGTATTGTTTGATTCCTGAGTATGTTTTTGTTGATTGTCTCCTATTTTGGCATTCTTGCTTGCAGCGTTTTACCTGATGCACATGTTTACCTCCGCATTTCAGCGGCTCAATTTCTTCGTCACGTGAGTCATGAGTCACATGTGTGATGTTTTTCATGTTGCATGTGCAATCACACTGTAGCATCTTATGTATACACCACAAAACAACTGCACTGTTCCACATGAATCATGACATGCATTCATTTCAACACGGTCTTGAATTACACTTACTGTAGTTGGTCACACGCACAAATTCTTCACATGAAATCTGCTCACAGACAAGGGGCTTCAAAAGAGCTGCAGGACTTGTGAGAATGTCATGCAGGACATCATCGAAGTAATTGCGGGCGAAGACCCAAGATACAACACATGCAGAACACCACACACACACACACACATGTGACTCATTACTTGTGACTCAACGAGAGACCAGACAACAGTTGACCGTCCAACAAGAGACGTAATTGCATCATGGTCGATTCAATTTGCTACTTTTCAGCAACCAGCCAGATACATGCGTGATCCGATTTGCACACTCGCACCTTTCTCCTTGACAACAAAGGCCCTGAGTATGTCTGGGGAGGGGCTCATTAGTCATGGCAATTCTAGGCAACTGAACTTTGGCCACACCCGCCACCCTACCTAGTGTGCCAAAACCATTACCATACTCTTGTAAATTCAAAAGGCATACTGAATGTCTGATTGCCAAGCTTTGGCTTTACTATTCATTGCTTGAAGCGTGTGACATGGCATTACTCGGATCTCTTTGGCCTTTAGAAGTCAATGCTGTGGAGCAGATCAAGGGTTTTGATATCAAATTCATTGCGCAGTGATGTGTCACTTTGCCACCAGACTTAATTTTGACCATTTTTTGTCCACGTCATACTCCTACAGTGACTCAAGGTGTCTCCACGCTCCATGCCTGGTGACCCAGTCAAGCTTTTTCCTGTACGCCTAGGAATCAAGCTCCTTGAGCTTCGTCATGGCCTCCGAAGCTTCCACCATGCAATGTGCCCACCCCGCACACGCACAAGGCAAGAACCTAATTACTATTACTATTACATCAGACGACATCTGACGGAAATTCAAGTTGCTAGCAATGTTGTTCTGTGCAAGTGTAATCTGGGCCAGATTCACCAAGTGACCAGATTCGAGCGAATCTCAGTAGGCTAGCACACAGATGGTGGTTGGAACACATCAGTTCATTTTCACATGTACCATACTGAGGCCCAAATGCAGGCGCAAAAGAGTGCGCACCGGTTTTCATGGTAGCGGAGCTCTGCGGGCAGCCCCGACAACTCCGAGGGAAACCCTTTTGGGCAATCTACAAGCCACCAGGGAAACCCTTTCCGGTTTGCTGAAAGCCCGAGCAAACCGTCAATCCTGTCCCGGTTCCGCTCATGGCAACTGCCGGTCTGGGTGTGGAGCAAGCTGATGGAGGAGCAAGCTGGAGCTCGCACCTGGACAGGTGTTCAAGGGTTGGTACAGGCCCTCCATGGACTCATAGAAGTCCAAAAGAATTCAGGGTTCACGAAGCACTTGAAGCCTCCCACAAGTGTTCAGCCTGAGAATCGGAGTGAAGAGCTGGGGAAATGGATGGATTGGCGCTTCCAGTTTGTGACATTTGTAGGTGCTGTTGATGCCGCCATCCACATGAAGAATGCTAAAAAGGAAGAATCCCTCAACGAATAGACTACCCCAGGTACGAGCTCAATCTGAGAGGCTCTACTCCCTCCTCACTGGGCTGATGAAACAAAGACCACTCAGGTTAGTGAGAGGTGTTGCCAACCAGAACGGCCTGGAAGCATGGAGGCAAGACTCGTCAGCGGTCCTTGGCGTTAGTTCAGGCAACAAGACGGTGGCTAAACCGAGCGCAGTTCCAATGTCAGCTACCCTGATGCCTTGAAGATTGCATCAGCTGTTTCAGCACTACCCTCCAACTTGAGGTTGCAATCCAGATGTCCCTCCAGGATGACACGACGTTTGAAGACCTGAGGAAAAAGATCGAGCTCTACGAGCAAGTGAGCCAAAGGTGGATGACTGAAGGAGGATTGCAACTTTCAGTGAGGCCAATGGCAGAGACTGAGGACAAAGGGGGACCCATGGACGTGGACATGGTTTGGTCAAAAGATGGTGAAAAGAAAGGAGGTAAGAAGGGCAAAGACAAAGGAAAGCAACAGAAGGTGAAGGGCATTTGATCCAAAGATGGAGACAAGAAGGGCAAAGGTGGAAAGCAAGCCGGGAAGACTGCGGGCAAGAAAGGAAAAGGAGTGGCCACCTGCCACAACTGTGGGAAAGCCAGGCCACTTTGCAAAGGAGTGTTGGTCCAAGAACGTGCACAGAGTTGAAGGAGGTGATGGACAAGAAGGTGCAAGACTGAGTTGAAGGCCCCTAGTGTCAGCAACGACGACAAAGGATGGCTAACCTTGAGCGTCAACTGGGAATCCTGCCGTCGACTGCGCGAGTCAGGCGGGTTACTATTGGTCACGCCGCCTACGGCCACGGGATTGGCTACGATGGATGATGTGTTCATTTCACTCCGGATGACTTTCATGATGAAGTCCTCCAAGAAGAGTCTGAAGAGGACTTCAAGCTGACAGTGTCAGCAGTGACTGAGGTGAAAGAGAGCTTTGAGGAGACCGACAATGAAGAGACCTTCTTCGACTGCATCAGTGATGAGGAAGAGACTGAGCCCAGAACTTCATCAAATGGAAAGACAATGTTCTGACCTATACACTGCGAAGAGTGAAGACCCAATGAAGATCTGCATGATCAAGTGGTACCTCCCTCCGTCATCATGACGCTTGACTCCGGAGCTGATGTATCAGTAGCTCCTGAGAGGTTCTACAATCTTGGACTTCCAGGAGGATTGTCACTAGCAACAGCAAGTACAAGCTTGCCAGGGCAAAATGCGGCAGCACAGTGGTTCAAGGGATGCTGTGCTGTAGCTCGGGAGTGTGGCATGATTCAGGACGTCATGCAACCGACTATGATGAAGAAGGTGAAGAAAGAAGGTGATCAAAGTGAAGGACAGCTGTACCTCACCATCCATGTAGACGATATGCTCCTTGTTGGACATGAAAGTGAAGTTGAGAAATTCATCAAGTACATGGAGCAGAAACCATGGAAAGTGGAGAAGAGAGGTCCATTGTACCAAGGAGGTTTCAGCTACTTCAAGCGCAACATGGAGATCATTGGCGCTGGCATCACCATCAGGCCAGATCAAGAACACACCAAGGAGCTTACCAAGGTGACCAATGTGGAGCATCCAAAATTCCAACTTCACGAGGCTGAGTGAGGATGATGAACCAATGACCAGTGAAAATGTCACAAAGTACAGGAGCTCAGTGGGAAAGCTTTTGTACATCTCTCCAGATCGCCCTGACGTGCAGTTCGTGGCTCAAGGACTGGCTAGTTTGATGCAAAGGCCTACGAAGAGGGCCTCTTGCTTGAACATGGTCCCAAAGGAAGAAGTGTCTTGAACGTCAATGAGAACATGCATGAATGGGAAGATGACGCCAATGTCAATTTGCTCGAGGTGATCTGTGATGCTGATTACGCTGGACAGAAAGATGCAAGGAAGTTAGTCAGCTCAGTTCAGATCTATCTCAATGGAAAGGGCCTTAGCTGGCCGCATTGGAGTCGGGAAGACACGGCACATTGCAGCAAGTCTTTTGTGGCTGCAGCAAAAGGTTAATGCAAAGGAGTTGCGCATCATCGGAGTGCTGACGGCCATCAACGTCAGTGACGGCAGCAAGATCCTCAAGGCGCGAATGAGAGGACTGATGACTTTGATCGAGATGGTGGACGCTGATGACCAGATGGGCAAAGCAGAGTTTGAAGAAATTCAAGCCAAGGAGGAGCTGAAGTTCAGCTGAAGGGTCGGAGGCAATGCAAGAATTGCTTTGGTTTTGGCATTGACAATGCTGCAAGGAGGAAAAGCATCAGGAGTGCATGAGAAAAAGGAAGGTAAAAGTGAAGATGAGTCGCGGTGGATTCGGCCGTTGTTCCCACTGCTATGCTTGGCAGCCATAGGGGCCTTGAGTCTGGCACGGTAGACGAGTTTGCATGGACAACACGACAGGAAGAGAAGCAGAAGTTGAAGTGATAAGGAAAGAAGAAGAAGAACAACAACAAGAACAACAACAACAACAACAAGTGCAGCTGGAAGAAGAGCAATCAGAAGAACAGCATCATGAACGAGATGTTGAAAAGGTGAACATGCAATCGCAGATCATCCAGCTCGAGGTGGTCATTGCAGAGCAAAAAGAAACGATGAAGGAGATGACAGAAGAATAAGAACGATGGATGCGCGAAGCTCTGAGGCTTGCCGACATGCATGTTGACCTCAGTGGGCGAGGTCAGAAGCGCTCTTCAAGACCAAAAGTTTGAAGCTGAAAGCAAGCTACGACGAATGTCGTGGACGGATGATGAGAAGGCCTTGGAAATCCAAAGGCTGGAAGAAGATGTCAAGGAAGCACGTGAAGCTGCATAGTTGCTGAAGCTACGTGTGAATGGAATCAAAGAAGAAGCAATTGCAAAGATGCCTGAGAACAAGATGAGTGTAGAGTTCATCATGGATAGGAAGACCTGGGTGGTCACTCACAGTGCTCAATGCTACCACGCCGAGGAGTGTTCACATGTGGACAACACAGCCAAGAAGCAGATCAGGTCTTGCGCCTATGAGGGTCGTGCCAATGACCATGGGGGCCGTGACAAGATTCGAGCGAATTTCAGTAGACTAGTACGCAGATGGTGGTTGAAACACATCAAGGAATTTTCACGCGTACCGTACTGAAGCCCAAACGCAGGCGCAAAAGAGTGCGCACCTGTTTTCACCAAGGCTAAACGGCAGCGCTGGGTGGCGCCGCACCATTGCAGTCGGTGCGCTGCTGGGTGGCATCGATAAATTAGGACATTGTGAAGCGATGGCACGGTGATGATGTCACTGAAGCGCATGCTATTTTTGGTATTCGTGCTTGGCATGGTTTGACCTACGACTGACCTGTATACAGCTGTACATGTTTGACATGAGGTTGACAGTAAAGTGGACGACAATGTAGAATTTTCAATGTTCCATGCCCGCTGGTGGCTGCGAAGTCTGTATCAGCATGGAAGCAGTCAATGATGGTTTCTGGAAGGATGATTTGGACACGTTACAAGACTTTCTGGCAAACATGAAATCAGGTCAGATACGAGTCTACTTCAGAGCCTCGGATGTTCACTTCACTGCGTCAGTGTGAGCGTTTATTTCAGGTTGATAAACCTGATTACTCACTGACTCAGGGATCAGGCTTAGGGGTTTTGCGTCCTCAACCACGGCTTTGGATGAGTGTGAGAACATCTTGGGCAACGCTCTGCAACTTTGGTGGTCCAAAATGCCAGATGGCGTCAGGACATACAGCATTGAGATTCAATCTATGTTCTGTCAGATGACATTCCTGAGAAATTATATTCAAACATGAACACTAAATGGGTTTCAGCAACAGCTGTCAGCTCTGCGTTCATATTTCTGGCCCTGTTTGATGCGGGAAAAACCGCGCGTTGGGTATGCTTTCACCAAGCGTCACTCGAAATGGGCCACAACCAGCAAAACGTAGCCTCCCCCAAGGAAAGTGCCCTAGCTAATGATGACATGTTGAAATCGATGAATCGGTGAAGTGTGGGTGTGCATGTGTGTGGAAACTGCTATCGGACGCAGCAAAATTAGACTGTTTCTACCGCCCTGATTTCATAACCGTGCCGAGTGAGTTCAATTGCCAAACAATGTTCTAGCAGGGGCGTGTGGCACTCTCATCCTACCACACACACGCAATGAAGCTGTGGATGAGAATGGGAAGCAAGGACTGATCATCCCTGTGTACCTGCTCGAGAACACACACCTGTAGAACTGTAGAACTGTTATTCACACTGGGACTCCACTTTTGTCTAAGGGGCTAATGAGCGCTCGCCGCTCGGTCTTGCCGGATTTGAAACTTGATGGACTCAATGAACTCTTGGGCCTCCTGGACATCGAGCCTTGACCTTTCAGGATGCTCAGACCCCGGACTCCCTTTCATGTTTTACTCAGGCCGTTTCTTCGCCGAGGTCGCCGCACACACGAGGCATTCAGTTGATGAGCGAGCGTGGAGAGTACCCCTAAGCAAGGGTTGTCTCACTGTCTCCCTTCCGGCGCACGGAATAGCTCACAGCGAGCGTAGGCGGCTCATGCCAAACGTTTATGAAGACCTGAAGCCCTGGAGTGATCCGGAGCAGGCTGAATGCCGAGAGTAGTCCGCGGCGGACCAAGAGTAGGCCGGAGCCGCCATAGTCCACTAAAGTCCATGATGCTTGTTCTCAGCTTCATAGCAACATTGCTTCCATCCTCTTTCATGTGAACGACAACCTTGGTCAGGGCTACTCCCAACTTTGCACCCCGTTTGGTGAAACTCGGGTCATTGCGATAGCTTGGATCAAACGCGCCTTCCAGATACTGAGGTCATTGACTTTGGCCAGGGAACGCGTCCTTCCTCGACACCTTAGTGGCATGAGCTGGCAGAGCATTTGCTTCAGACATATCTTTTTTGATCTTCTCTGTTCTTGTCTCAAATTCTGCTGTTCATCTCTCTCCTTGCGGTACTCCCCCAAGGCTGCTTCGTACCAACAGTACGCCTCACCACAATCTACGACGTTATAGATGTTCTTGGTACGACTGTACCTGTTCTTCCATAAACTCTATCTCTTCGGCATGTTCTTGCTTCGAGCAAAGCTTTAACTTTCTGCTCTCTGTTGCGTCGTTTGATCAGCCTCTCGTTCTCTGCCAACAATCTCTCTAGGTGCCTTACCTTGTCATCTAATGGGTTGCCCCGTCGGCACTTCATCCTCTACAAGTGACACTTTGGCCGATCAACCAGTGTTCCTCAACCAAAGAACTCATTGCGGGTGGGATATGGAATATGGATGGAGGCCTCATCATCCTGATCAGCTGCCTCGCGCTCCATTCTCGCTTTGAACTCAGAACGGTTACTTCCATAGTCTTCTCTTGCGTACAATCGCCCTCGTACAAAATGACCTTGGCATGAACGCTGTTCATCGATGTCTGTGACCAGTGCTCGAAGGTTCTCAACAATGCATTCTGTTCCCACACGTCAAGAACATTTGCTCGTTCACAAGAAACATCTTCGCTTACTGATGATACTGTGTCCATTGCCTCATGACGATCTGGGAACTATCATCCTGTAATGCGCACATTCGAGCATGTAGTTCATCAGCAACGGTTCCCACCCAACTCTCTCATCACCAGCCTTGACGCGTGATTCCCAGACACCTCATGCGCCCTACTTTTGCCCCATGACTCCCAGCCTTGATCCCGTAATTCCCAGTGGACCCATGGGGCCCACTGTTGCTCGCATGGGCCCCTCTTTTTGGATACAGTTCAAAGCGTCGCACGGCTCTCTAGATAACGAACTCATCTCCAAGGATGACTCATGTTGTGGATGAATGAAGTTCTTCTATAAGGTGAGTTTGGCATCGGCTTCTTCCCGTCTCTGTGGAGTCCTCAACTGATCCAGATTCCTCTGAACTCTTCTCATCTTGCAGGTGCCACTCTGGGAGAAGTCGATCTTGTCAGCGGAAGTCGTTCTTCCATGGAAGCATCAGCATTGCTGACTAGGAGTCCAGCAATATGCTTGCTTCACCTGAGACTTGTGAACCAGTTGGCACTGTTATAACAGTAGCGTCCTGCAAGCTGGCGGTGTCACCTGTCATCCTCAAGGTGCAGCAAAGGGGTATGCGGTATGTTCCACTAGCATTCTCCGAACTGGACATCGTAGGCCAAGTGGTCTCAATTGCAGCTCGTACCAGAACGGGTGCAGCTGATAACCTGCGAGTTGGTATTAGCCAACAAAGCTACCTATAACCCATGCAAAGCTCTGCAGGCCTATTTTCTGCTACGCTAAAGGGTCTTGAACCAAAAATCGTTTGGCAAACAACACTATACATCTATTGTGAAACATAATGAAACATATATACACATGCTGTTGCCGCGTGCTCAGGTTCTTGAAAAATCGCAGGCTCACATAGATGCGACATGTATGCCCACACGAGTGTCACTACTCATGTATCATCTTCTCAGCCACCTTACCCTCCTACCGTGCTTTCAGGCCACACAGTCGTCTAGTAGTTGTTTCTATTTTGGCTTCTTGCAGAATTCAATATTGAAACTGATGACCTGCGCAACCAAGCCCAAACCGCCAAAAGTTAACTTTCAATTGATTATGCTTGGGGGCTGGGTAGGTTGTATGTTCCTGGGTTGGTTAAGTGTTTGGCCCCCCAAGGGCGCGACTTCGCAGTCCTCCGGAGCTGGGTTGGCACAAACACCTGGCTGTGAGCTTGGCTGGTTCGCCTGAAGCGCCGATTGCAACTGCAGCCAAACCGCTGTTGGTGCCTCATCCTGCTCGTTGAGGTCCCAGGGATGTCGTTTCTGCGATCAACACTTTGTTTAAATTAAATACATATTCATTTTCATCACATATCAAACACCTCCAAATGGCGACAAGTACGCGGCAAGTACATGCCAAATTTGGGTCACAGCCCCCAGAACTCAGGCCTGGCACTCATGTGCTGATGAAAAAGCGCACCAGAAAAAGAAAGAACAGCGCACGAGTTCTCGCGCCATGAGCTGTTGTCACAGCGCCGAACAGCTCAGCCGGACATGAGCTTTTGTGGCTGCGGTTCCAGACGTGGTGCGACCGTGGAACTGAGTTGCATGTAGTTATTGAAAAAACATATGCTATGATTCTTTAAGGATGTTTAAGGTCAACTCAAACAAACAACGAAGGAAACCACTTGATACTCCGTTGCTGACATTCAAATATCTGAAGCATTTCCCACGCTTCTGTTTCAACACAGAGAGGCATCCTGGTAGCGCATGTGTGGTCCCAGGCAAATTCTCCTGGCACAGCCTGCCATATCACAGATCACTGAGCCGTTGTCGCTGACTGCTGCACCACGCAGTGCCAACAGCTGGGCTCCGACCATTTGCATATCATGAAAGGATGCCACCGGCTTGGTGCCCAGTTTCTTGAGCTCCGTCACCTCCTGCAAGGGCGGCTTTGGCTGCGCTCCAAATAACAAGTTTGACTTATCAATTGATACCCTGTAGGTAGTTGGATAGCTAGATAGCTAGACAGGTAGATAGAACCAATAGAATAGAATAGAATAGAATAGAACAGAACAGAACAGAATAGAATAGGATAGAATAGGATAGAATAGGATAGAATAGGATAGAATAGAATAGAATAGAATAGATTAGATCGATAGATAGATAGATAGACAGATAGATAGATAGATACATAGATAGATCGATCGATAGATAGATACACAAATAGGTAGATAGATAAATAGATGGATGGATGGATAGATAGATAGATAGATAGCTTGGAAGGACCATAAAATTGTCTTAGCGATTGGCCTTTAAAACAGCCATTTCCACCAGTGAACGGTCCGTTGCACCAAAGCCCAGCTTCCCTCCGCCATCAATATCACCTCCAGGGCCGGGCGGGCGCCGCAACCAAATCTCACAGAGACGCAGAGCGTGTTGTTTAATGGTTTTTCTGGTTCTCTGATGCAAGAAGGAGTTTTGGATTGTCTTCGGTGGACTATATAGATCTGAGGCCAAAGTCTCAACTGTTTTCAGAGCCAAGGGATAGTGTGCGCAACGACCCGCCAAGGTACTAGAAAGTCTCAGAGTTGTTTTGCGCTGACCGCCAGCAGGTCGATGAAAAGGCAGTGCTCTTGGTGGACACTTGGGGATCTGCAGAACTTTCAGTTCCTCCTCAGAGGAAAAATCATCCAAAACCGCAGAATCAGGCAGCTGGGAGAAATTTTCAAAGCCCCCGCTCATGGACAAACTGCAATGTTCAAAATCTCTGACCCCACACATTTGTACAGCAAATCATTCATAGCAAACAATCATAGCAACATATAAGAAAAAACAAAAACAATGCCAATCTTGAAGAAACAAACCACAACAAAATAGACCTGAGATGGGGGGACAACGAAAACCAATGGAGGCAAAACAGGGAAGGGAAAGCAAGGGAAAAAGAGCAGGAGAAAAACCAATGGGGTGAGAAACCGGACACGTTGCAAACAACGCAGGCGCAACACGAAAAACAAAACTTGGTGCGCCTTGAACATTGAACGAAGGGTTCCAATCCAATGCCAAAGTGCTAGAACTTGACGATACTTTGCGTCGCACGCACGATACTTCGGTTGACTTGGAAGCTACATTTCGTGGCATGGGCAGTACTCAAGTTCTCTCAACATAATGAATGTTTCGAAACACCCCATCGACGAGACGGAGCGCCTTTTCTCACTTGAGCCAAAACAAACAAACGTCCCTAGTCAATACTGCACAAACAGAGCTATGCATGGTCTCTACACGTCAACACTCCTCCGTTTGCAAAGAGCCTAACCTCTGCGCCAGTCTGCACACAAGTGATGTGAAACAACTTCCCGCCCTGGCTATAGACCTCACTTGAGGATACCTTCAAGCGCCGCTCTGCCACATGCTCCTCCAACCACAGGTAGCGAGTTTGGATGCGGCGGGCTACACGTTGAACTGTGCCTTTCGCAGTGTTGCTATCTCCTTCTGACACAGCATCAAATTGCAAACCTGGGTCCTTGCAAGGGGCACGCCTAGTCCAGTCAAGCCTCCCTTGCCGTCACCTCCGGCCGCACTCTCCGCCGCTTCTCATAATCTGCTTCTTCTGCTGCTTCTTCTTTCTCTTCTTCTTTCCACTCGCCTTCGACTCTTCTCCACTCTTCTTCTGGCCAAACTTCGCTTCCTTTTCTCTGTTTCTGGCAAAGGTTCCTCAGGCAAAGGCTCTTCCTCTTCTTTTCTACCGCTTTCTTCTCCTCCATCTTTTCTGCCTCCCGCGCAGCTGAAGCCAGCGCTGCCGGGGCTTCCTCTTGAAATTCCTCCGCTCCGAAAAGAAAACTTATACTGCGTCTCTCTTCTCGAAGCCTCAGAACACGATCCTTTTCAGATTCGTCTCCAGGCCTTCGCGCTACCATCAAAACACAGTATCGACGCTACGGACCGCCTTGCTTCACTTGAGCCAAAACAAAAAAATCCTTAGTCAGTGCTGTAGACACGGAGTTATGTCTGGGTTCTACACTTCAACAATCTTAAATTGAATTGAAAAACTTAACTATACAGATGTCGTGGCAGGCGCAAAACGAACTCCGATCTTTCAAGCATCAAAATGTCAAATATAAAGGAACGCCTTGATCGAAATGTTTTCATTCTATAGACCCATTAACATAGCATGAACTCCTTGGCGTATTGACCGCCACTCACGGCAAAAAACAACATGTTCAGGTAGCCGCTTCTAGAAGCCAGGTCCTACCGCCAGCTTCTCATCTAAGTGTTGGCCACGCGCTGGCTTATATATATATATATATACATATGGTCTCAAGTCAGCATGGCCAAGGATGGAAGAAAACCAACGCCAAAATCGATGTTTTCTAAACAAGGCCAAGGCACTGCTTCGCACGCAGGGAGTGTAAAAATCCAAGGGAGCAAAGGCCGCGACAACACCTGGAGCTTTCTTCAAAACTACGTCACTGCGTGGCCACCACAAGTCCGCAATCCGTCGCGACGCCCGTGTGGATGAAATAGTCCCACGAGATCATGGAACGCATTGGATAAAAATAACACTTCGTTTGGCCTCAATGGCAATTGTTTGGTCGCTTGGGTCGAGGAAATGCTTGGCCCAGTTTGCTTGGAAAGACCGGCGTTCGCACGGACAGGCAAGAACGGCGACTTGATCTGCGCCTCAAGCAAATCTCTGTTCCAACCAACTGTCGTTAAAGTCCCAGCGCGTGCGCTTGTCTCCCTCGGGCGTCGGGGATTGAGCCGGAAAGCTCGCGGGCGCCTGCGTCTCTGACTCCGAGTCCTTGGTGTCAGAAATAATCGAACGTCCCAATGGCCCACAGCCGAAGCTAACTAAGCGTTCCAATGGTCGCAGCAGGCGAAGGCTCCCTTTCCGGGGGAGCACCCGCGTAGTACGCACCTCTCTTCACCGTTAAGGCATCTGTAATCACAGTGACGCGACCGTGCAACGACGGGCGTGCCGGACCTGCATCCCAAGCCCACACCCGCCACGCAGGAACGCACACGTCGGAACGACCGGAACTCGCGCAGCAACATGCATCGTTCAAAATGCCAAGGCAGGCACCGCGCGGCAACTTCTCACGAATGAGGAAGAAAATACAACGAACCACTCTTTTTGCTGCTCTTCACCACAAGATGCCACATGAGATTTAATATTTGCAGCGGGGAGAAGGCCTGCCATTCTATGCGCAGGCTTGCTCATCGAAATCCCTATTTGGATGCCTAGCCTTGCACTCAAATAAAATTCTCTATAGAAGGCTCTGCCCGCCACAATGCAAGAAGCCACTCCATGGGCTAAGAGGATGGAGACCCCCATGACGCTTGACACCAACCCACTGCGTCCTGGCTGTGTTCAAACGGTGATGTCCTTGGTACACAAACAGCAGAGATAGCACCGCACGGATTTCAGGACGCCTCAAGTTTTTTGGGTTTGGAACATGGCTGGCCGCGGCATGTGGGTAACATATGGCAAATTTCCCGATTCGATGGACCTGTCATAGACCTGCTTTCTGGCTTCTGCTGGGTCGGTCATGTCCTCAACGCGTTCATGGCTGCGTTTGCAAGCAGAAGCTCGATCTCGACCGGTGGGAAGAAGGTCTTGTCATGAAGATCCTTGAGGTTCCAGGGTTCCAATACGGCCTGGAGTCCATCTTGTGAAGTCATGAAGTTCCCTCACGAAACGGCCAGATTCCGCGTGTGTTCTTTTCCATTTTCTGGAATGACCATCGCTCCCAGGGAAGCTACAACACGTCTTCTTCTATTTTCATTGACGCCTTTTCCACAGAGCGTCAACCAGCAAAGATCACCGGATCTCAAAAGTTTCAAATAGCCGATCCCCAAGATCGAATTCCCGCCTTGTTTCACGGATCGAAGCGTCTGGAGACATCCGAATGTTTGGCTTCTGAATTGCACTGCACGCTGGTTCCTGAGAACTGCTTGGAGCTCCCATCCTCGGCATGTGACGAATTCACAGATACTGAGCTTTGACATGTACCACTGTCTTTGCCAACATTGCGCATTGACCCAAAGTGGTGTGAGAGACAAAGAAACCATGTTCAAGAGCCGTGGACAGTAGCCATTGATTATATATATATATAGAATTCCATCCCGTTCTCTATCCATGAGGTGCTGTTGGAAAATGTGGGGGGCTCGCGCGTTTGACCTACAAAAGTAAGATTGCGTCCAAAGTCAAAACCCTCGGTTTTCCCGAGGGGCAAGCAGATCTTACGCGACCTTCCAACAGCAACAGTTTCCAAAAACAAACAAACGAACGAACGCACAAACGAAAGAAAGAGACAAAGAAAGAAAACAGACACTCTCCGAGAAATAGAACCAGCATAGACCCCAAACCGCTTCGCCAGCAAGAATTGTTGTTATTTGTTGTTGTTGTTGTTGTTGTGGTGTTGGGCGGCCGCAGCCCCAGCCCCTGCCTCAAAAAGCAACGTAACAGCAGGACAACAGAAAGACCAGAGGAGGACATGAAGAGGACAACAGAGCACACTTAAATCTTAAAATGGAGCACATGTCATAATGTGTTTCTATTGGTCTGCG